ATTTAATTTTTTTTTTAAGGTGTTTATGAATTTGTTTGCAATGAATTTTGTCATTTATTTTTTTATGAGTAACTAAATCTATAGTTAAGATTATGGTAAATTTTATTACATAATTTATGTGATTTTTAAATATAATGATAATATTGATTTCTTTGTAATATTTGACTTTTATCTTATTAAATTGTAGTTTTCACACTAAAAATTGATAATCCTTAACATCTCATGTTAGTTGCATTGTAAGCAGTTACATCACATGTAATTAATAAACTATAAAATAAAACGAGACAAAAAATTAAGTAAATCAAATCTATCTCTTATATTCTAACAATTATTAAATTAACAAACTCATTTCTATATTTTGCCTCTTATGATATTTAAGGATAATAGTCTAAAAAATAATAATATTAATATTACATAGTCATTGAATATTAATAAAATAAAATAAGTATAAGTGATTCATAAACGCAACAAAAATAATGTTAGAATTATATTAAAGAATATATAAAAAGAAGTGAAATCATGTGCACTAAATTTATCTCATTCATTTTCTATCAAAAATTATATTATTATCCTCTTAAATTTGCTTTTAAATTTAAATTTCTCTTATTTTTAAACTACTATGCATCTCTTGAATTTAAATAATTAAATCAAAATATTTGTAGTATTTAAAAATAATATAAATAATTTAAAAAAATTATTACTATTTTTATAAATGCAGTTGCTCAGGAACAATATAATTTATTGTGAATCATAAATATTGCAATTATAATTAATAAATATTAATTTTTTATTTTAAAAAAAAAAATTTGCCAAATAAAACGTGAAACTTGTATAATTTTAACATGTCGGATTATTTTAAGCTTTGAATAAAATTTAATATTTTTAAAATGAAATTTCAGCACATTTGCAAAATTTGATGGGTGAAGGATTTGATTTGCCATCTTTCACGGATAATGGAACAAAATTAGGCATTTAACATGTGTGAAAGGAACAGTCACTATAATTGACGTCAAGGCACTGTGATTGTGATTGACACTCTTTATTTACGTCAGACACTGTGATTGTGATTGACGCTCTTTATTTACGTCATCTATTGTACAGTTATTACATAAAGAGTTTTACTCGGTACTTCTAGAAAATATTAAAAATTATTTAATAATAAATAAAATTGTTTTTAGTTATAAATTTGTAATTTTATTTTTAAAAATTATACAAAAAATGATAAAAGTTAATTTAATTAAATGATAAAAATGAATTAAATCATAACGAAAATAAAACAACAAATCATATTTTTTTACATCATTATTCAATGATAAATTATTGTATTAGTAATAATTATTAATCTATTAACAGTATAAATTTTTTTATATGTAATAAAATTAAATTCTTTTTAATTTCACAAGATATTAAGCACTTCTTATTTTTATTTTAAACTATTAAATTAATAATAATAATAATAATAATATGAATTTATTGTGATTTTTTATTTTAATAATACTAATTTAAAAATTAATTTTTAAAATAAATATAATTTAAAATTAAATTTTATTTAGTATTTTTTTTATCAACTCAATGCTAGTCTCTCACTTAGATAGACAATAGCATAATTTTATTATTATTTTAATATATAATTGTAACAAATAATTTTGATATACAATCAAGTTATAAAATATAAATTGTCAAAATGCATTATCATTATCATTTGATAGTGGACAATACTACTATAGGTTATAAGGGTAAATATAATAAGAAAATTGACATAATTTATGGGTTACAGCGTAATCAAAATATTAAAAAAACAAAAGTTTTGACAATTAGAAGGGATGGAGAGGAAGAAAGAATAATTTGGGTCACATGTAAACATAAAAGAGGGTTAAAGATAATTTAATCAAAAAATTTTGGTTAAGTTATACATTGTGTTAGAACTAAAAAGTAAAAGAGTGGATAAAATATTTCTTCAATAATTGAGCTACTCTGTAACATCATTTTTATATTTTTTTTTTCTCTCTTAAAAAGCATATTAAAACAAAACATGACTCACTCAATAAACAAAGAATTCAGCATAAAGAGTTGCAAAAAATTTATTATAGAGTATATACATTCATTAATATATTACTGATTGATTATTTGCATTACTTTCTACTGCCAAATGATGATGATATTACTATTAGTCTATTTTTTCTAATATATGTCTGTTAACTAAACGTATCAATCAAACTTTATATTAAACTCTCTCTATGATGATAATATATTAAAATAATAATAAAATTATGTTGTCATTTATTTAGGTGTAAGATCAGTGTTGATTTGGAAAAAAAAATAAAAATATTAAAAAAATTTAATTTTAAATTACATCTATTTTAAATATTAGTTTTTAAATTAGTATTATTAAAATAAAAAAAACCGTATATTGTAGCAACTAACCTGTGATATAAATTTCACAAAATAAAAAACGTATAAGTATAAAAAAACTAAAAGATAATTGAATCAAAATGACAACTTTTCATTTTACATCGTTGTTTATGAAGCCTATGGTGCAAAGTGTTAAATGCCTATGTTTAAAGAAGTGTGCGTCACAATGTCAACGAAGTCCGCACTTTTCCTTGCAAATTTCGTAATATTGGTGGCAAAATTCTTAAAATATTGGGACATTTGTCAAAGTTTTATGAGTTTTACGTTTTTTTAAATGAAAAAATAAAATTTTGCTAACTGTAATAGCAAAATACATGACGCTTAATAAAAAACACCCTAAACAGAAAATTAATTTTTAATAAATTATATTTTAGTAATTTATTTTTTTAAAACATTTAAATAAAATGCAAAACATATGCAAAAGACAAAGTAAAATGAAAGAAAAAATATTAAATATTAAATTTATTTTCTTAATAATAAATATACATCAAATTTAGTGAATTAAAATAATTTTAATTTTTTTGTAATAAATAAGAGTGTTCTAGTTGAAAAATAAAATATTTTATAAAATTAAGTTACATGAAAAATATTTTAAAATATGTATAAATTATATTCTTTTTCTTTATAATATTTTTTAATTTTATTTAAATTTTATAAATAAAAAGTATTACTTAATTTTTTCATTATCTTATATAAAATTTTAATTTTTTGTAAATTATTATATTTATATTTTTAATTATTTTATATAAAGTTTTAAAATTTCAGTAAATATTTATGAACATTTATAAATTATTTTATTACCTTATATAAATTTTCTATAAATATATTTATTTTTATATTATAATACTTAATATATTATTTTTATAATTATAATTTTATTAAACTTGTTCGTTTTGGAATTTATAGTTAAAAAAATTAGATTAAAATGTTTTAAAAAAATTTAAATTTTTAAAAAAATTTATTGTATATAAGTATTTATAAAAATATTTTTTAATTTAATTATTAAATTTTATATATTTATTTTATAATAAACTATATGTACATTCCACTCTGCCGACTTAGTTTAATTATAATTTACATTTTTTCCATAAATCATTGAATACAGTAAAAACGTGTAAATTTAAAAAAACGTGTCTTGATGCCTCTTCCATTCAATCAATTATTTGACTGAATTGATCACTTTTATAACACTGTTTTTAACTTAAATTTTAAAATTAATTAACTAGTATATAAGACAAAAAAATATAAAAAAATTATATGATAATTTTAATAGAAAATATATTAAATTTATTTATTAATTTTTGTGTCAATTCCTCAAAATAAATATTAAGAGAAATAAAGGAGTACTTATTGATTTTTAATATATTATAAAAATATATTAAATAAAAGCAAGCTCATTTAATATCTTAAAATTCAGAAACTATATAACATTATTTTAATTTAGTGAATACATTTAATATACAAATATTTAAAATTACTTGTATTGTAAATAAATACTAAGGAGTGAATATTTAGTGATAAAAGTTTATCAAATTTAAACAAAAATTTAATATGTATTTTAAAATAATTAGTAATATTTAATAAAATATATTTAATACTATGCATAGTATCTTTAGAATTATCGTCGGTATATAATTTTAAACTAAACCAAGATATACAACAAACGGTACATTACCATTACCTATTAAATAAGTATGAAGCTTGTTTTTAGAATAATTGTTACTTTTAGAATTTTAATTTATTGTTAATTTTTATATGTTTACCAAATGAAATAAAAAAAAAAAACATACCAGATAAATAAACTAGTTTATATTGAATTACATAAATAAAAAAATTGTGAAAGATAAAATATTTATTACATTAAAATATAAAAAAGTTTAGCATTTTTTAAGAGTTAAAAATACTCAATGAAATATATTGATTTTTTTTATCAGTATCATTAGTTATATAATTTATCAGTAAAATCCAACATTCATTATACTAAATTAATCAACAACCAAAGCATCATTATTGTGTAAAACACATCTGAAATCTCGATTTACAAATAATTTGTCTCCATAAAAGTAAGAAAGTCATTGATTTTAGGATTTGTTGTTTCTTTTGATATATCTACTAAATAAAATTAAAAATGTTTTAATAATTAAATAATCAAGGATTTTAAGTAATTTAAACATTACTATGCACAACTTTTTCTATGTTACACACAGTATGCTATTTTTTAATTATTTATTAAAATTATTGTTTATTATTACATATAAATTGTTTGTGACTTTATGAAAGAAAATAATATATAAAAAATAACATTAAGTTGTATTCTTAAGACTAATTTATATATAAAAAAAAACAACACTTCATATTATTTATATATTTTTACATAGAATATTTTTATTTATTAATTATGTCATTTAAACAGCTAAATGAGAAGGGGAAAAAGTTATTGTGAGCGTGGTTTTTTGCATTGATTACCTCATCGATTACGTCAACAGTGACAAAATCACTCTTGCGTTTCCAAATGGCATTGATTGCCACCACATGCACTCGTTCCTTATATATATAACGTGTAGATCTTAGCCCCTCTCAGTATACTGGTTCTCGTACGAAGTGCAACATTCTCATTCTCTCAATTTCCTTTGCAACTCAAATGGCGTCACAACCAGAGATGGAGCATCCTGTGAAAGCTTTCGGATGGGCAGCTAGGGACACATCTGGGGTTCTCTCCCCCTTCAAATTCTCCCGAAGGTATACTCATCACTCTTTCGTTATATACTGCTTCATGGTGTGCCCTTTTCCCTCGTGTAAACGCTGTTGATGCATTCAAAGACTCCACAGTTTTTTACTTCTTTTATTTGTTTATTTTATTTTCAAGGGAGGATTCATCTTTTTTATTTACATGCACGACGCATTATATTGAAATCTTATATTGATCTCGATCCTAAATATATATGAACGTTGACACGAAATTCCGTTAAGCGTTTGATTCTTGCATGGCAAAATAAACAGGCATATTGTGGATGATAAATTTTTATTGAAAACTTGAGATGCATTTGTTTTGGTTTTACAGGAAAACGGGGGAGAAAGACGTGGCATTCAAAGCAATGTATTGTGGGGTATGCCACTCAGACCTACACATGATGAAGAACGAGTGGGGCGTGTCAACCTATCCATTAATCCCTGGGTACGTCAATAATAACTTTGCCGCTTCCCCTTTTAATTGTTCACATTTTATCCGTATTTCATACTACAAAATAAATGTTTCATCGTATCGGGTGGGGTCCTAGTAGTCACGTGCTCTGCACGTTGAACTTCATCTTTTTCTTTTACATGTTGATTGAATATGCAGTACAGTTATGAATTGGATTCTAAAGTAACAGAACGGAAAATAAAATAAAAAATTATTAATCATATTATCTCTTTTTACACGATTTTCTTTTATCATTCATTCTTTCTTTCAATCACATTTACATATTTCATTTTCGTCTTTTGATCTCTTTGTTCGTTTGTTATACCAAGAAAATATACGAATAAATAGTTCAAATATATATTTTTATTTAAAAACTAGTTCCTGTTTCGCTTTTTTTTTTCCTCATCTTATCTCTTTCACATTGTAAAAGATGTAAGACAGTAATTCATCGTGCTAAATTTGATTTGACTTTACATCTAGGCATGAGATTGTCGGTGTGGTGACAGAGGTGGGAAGCAAGGTGCAAAAGTTCAAAGTTGGAGACAGGGTAGGTGTGGGGTGCATGGTTGGATCATGCGGTTCATGCCAAAGCTGTGGTGATGATCTTGAGAACTACTGTCGAAAAATGATTCTCACATACGGTGCCAGGTATGTTGATGGCACCATCACATACGGAGGCTACTCTGACTTAATGGTTACAGATGAACACTTTGTGGTTCGCATTCCTGATGGCATACCTCTTGATGCTGCTGCGCCTCTCCTTTGTGCTGGGATCACTGTTTATAGCCCTTTGAGATATTTTGGACTTGACAAGCCTAATCTTCATGTGGGTGTGGTGGGTCTTGGTGGGCTTGGTCATATGGCTGTCAAGTTTGCCAAAGCTTTTGGAGCTAAGGTAACAGTAATTAGTACATCACCCAACAAAAAGGAAGAAGCAATAAAACATTTGGGAGCTGACTCATTTGTGGTTAGCCGTGAGCAAGATCAGATGCAGGTACTTACGTGTTGGAAATTTGCTTCTTTGTTGTGATTGATTAAAATATATTTGTGAGAAATAGTCAATCAACAACTTATAATGTTCTTTCTTCACTATGTATCTATGTAGGCTGCAATGGGAACCTTGGACGGTATCATTGACACAGTTTCTGCTATCCATCCTCTTATGCCTTTGATTGGCCTGATGAAATCTCATGGTAAACTAATCATGGTTGGTGCGCCAGAGAAGCCTCTAGAGTTGCCAATATTTCCTTTACTTTCGGGTAAGTATATAATAAGAAACAATTATTTTTAATGTATGCGTGAGGATATACAATAATAAATTATAATAATTAATATTATCCATATTTTATGATAAATTTATTTTAAATAAAAAAGTTATTATATATAAATTTTTACTATGTATCGTTGAGCACACGTACGATTTTAGCAAAGCTTCATGTGTCTCAGAATAAAAATGTACCACATAATGATTTAAGATTGAAACTGAATTTTGAAGCTAACTATAACTCATATAATTGGCAGGGAGGAAGATAGTTGGTGGCAGTACCATCGGAGGGATGAAGGAGACGCAAGAGATGGTTGATTTTGCTGCTAAACATGGTTTGAAACCTGATATTGAGGTTATTCCAATACATTATGTGAATACTGCAATGGAGCGCCTCCTCAAAGCAGATGTGAAGTATAGATTTGTTATTGACATTGGAAACACAATGAAGGCGAGCTCTTGAAGACAAAATATGCACACTATTATTGATTTAGATTTCAGAAACTGAACGTGGGGCAGGATTAAAAAATAAAGATTTAATCCTTTTTATTTTTATTTTGGAAGCTTTATTTGTGTCTGCCGGTGTGTTTTGCTTTGAGGATTTTGGATCCTTAATTCATGAAATAGAAAATTAATATGTAGGGCCTGTAAACTCAGTTGTGGTGATACCTTTGGGATGATCATCGTACTACATTTTATTAAGATAACTTTTGTGAGAATCTGGAGTTTTATTTTATTTTATTTCGATTCGTGAGAAAAACTGTTCAATTGAACATTTGCCTGCTTGCGACACAGTGCAATGAAATAACAAAATGAAATGTTTATAAATTTTCCTAGTTAAAGGGGTAATCAAGAAGAAAATTTGGCATCAACATAGATTTATTTGAATGGATTACTGTCGGAGCTTAAATTTGATCCATATATATGCAATATATACAGCAATATATTGGATTATTTAAAAAGTTATACATAATAGTTGGGGCTGCTAATTTTTCTATTAATATTGTAGCGCATAATTGAAAAATAGCTTCAAAATTTAACCCTGCACAATTCATAATAGTTATTGAAATAACCATTGAAATAATTTTAGAAATTTTTGTTGTCGGTAGTTGGTAAGTAATAATCATTGTTCGTTCAATTTAACATAGAAGACTTGAAATTTCGTTGTTTTAAAATTTTTCTCTACAATTGAAATAATGTTCACATGTCTTTTTCTTCTACATTGAACCTATCTTACGTTTATCGCTGTCATGTTCAAGCGTCGGTTTTGCTGACGTTAAACGTGTGTTTTTTAATTATTTTTTTTAAAATTTTGTTTGGTTTCCTATTTTATTCTATTATTAAGAGATTTAATCTTTAGTGGCTAATATAAATTTGTAGACTTTTAGTATCCTTGAATCAAGTCGGCTACTACCGCTCATTTTACGTGACAAAATGAGAAATGACAGCTACTAAGCCGGTGACCTCAAGTTGTAGTCACATTCATGCCAAAAGGCAAAAGCATTAAATGTGTTCTGATTCAATGGAAGCATTGTCAAACAAAATAAATCCTCTGCAGCTTGTTAAGCCTTACCTACTGTTAAATATGGACTTATTTATTTTTTTAATAACTAATTATCAAAATAATGAAAATATTAAACTATTTTTTTAGAGTTTTTTATCACGTTTTTATTAACTTTGCATTTTACAGGGGTAAAACTCTTTTATAAATTTTTTAAAAGAATTTTAGCATAAATTTTATTTATTTTTGTATTTTTAAAAGAGTTTCGTATATTATGAAGAAGAAACTTATAAAATTATAACAAGTAACGGCTTAAAACAAAAATTTGCCGAAGCTTTTCCGTCAGTTTCTTTAAAAGGAAAAGCTGCAACATAATACTGGTAAGGAAAGGAAACTCGGAAATGGGTTATGGTGGTTACCTTTCTCTTTCAAGATTGAGAATAGGCCTTTTATTTAAAGGGCATGCGGTGTTTACTGTTTACACGTTTGTCACAGTGTGGATTGTCTGGTTAGACTATAATTTTGAGTTTTGACGGTTGGTTTCGGTTTGGTTGTAGGGTGGTGGGATGGGATGGGATGGGATGGGGTGTTGCTTTGAAGTTTTGGACCATGACTCTGATGATGGTGGACGATGATAACGCTACCTTGATTGATAGCTGATGAGTGCAGTGCAAAAAGTAGCTATGGATGGAAGTGAAGGAACTTAGAGAAAGCTTGGATAATTTTTGTATATTCCGTGGACGAAACTAACTCTCATATGTTATAATTTTATAAATTTCGTATGATGTACGAAACTCTTTTTAAAAAATAATAAAAACGTGACAAAAAAAAATATAAAACAAGAAAATAATTTAATCTTAAATGTGTTATCAATTAATTAATAATAAAATATTATAATAATGCAGAGTGTGACCCATATTCATTGTCCTCCACTACAAGTTTTAGCCAGAATCAAGTAGCTTGAGTTGGAGGACTTTCTAAGCGGATATAATCATACATAACTCCTTGGAACGGACCTGTGGCTTTTGACTGTCTCAGATAGATGGTGTTCTTTCCATTTACCAAATGATTACTATCTACAACTATACTATACAGCCTATGCAATCCATGGATGCCGTGCCTTGCTATGGCATTGTCTTCTCCTAAACGCCCTGCTGTGAAGAGGGGAGATTTAGCTCTTGGGTCATTCAACCAAACCTGATCATCCATCTCAAAAAATTTCAGTTACCATAGTCATAGCTCAAAAAATATCTTGTTAATTTTTATCAAAAGTTGTATTAAAATGGTTCAAAATTTGTGTTAAAAGTGTTTTTTATTTTATTTTTTATAATGTCTTCAATATTTATAAAAAGACAATTTTTTAATGTGTCATTGGATCTTTTATATAATAAGTTTTTATTAAAAATCACATGATATAACACAATTTAATACATTAATAACATCAAATATTCATTTTTGTTTAATACATTATTTATTATTTACGGAAAAAATTGATTAAAAAAGGTCAACTACGAAATAAATGAAGTTGGGTAGATACCTCCAATTCAGCATTAGTGGCAGATGCCAGGGCCAATTGTAGTGTGTAGTTGCCTCTCAATATGTTATTTTGAAGATCGAATTTAATCTGCCATGTGGTTGGCTGGAATGTATTATTTGCTATGCTCCTGCATACATTAGAGCAGTTTAAAAGGAGACAAAGAAAAAATCAATAAAACTTGACAATTACATCGAAATTTATGTACAATCAAAACTTACCTGGTAACATGAGCAAAAAACCAAACCTTTTTATAGTCATCAACGCCAGCCGTGAAAACGAGATCACGATTTGGATATAAATCAGTGTAACGTTCCCACAACCCGTATTGCCTAAACCTATCACAATAGAAATAGTTTGAGTAAATGGGATAGAGTACAGAGAGATTAATAAAAGTTAGCATCAATTGTCGAAGGTGGGTTTTGGGCTAACTTGTTTTTTGCATCGTTCGTGTATAGTTTGTTCAATAGCGTGGGGTAAGGATCTGGTACATGGAATTCCCCAGCTGAGCGATCTGGGACCCCAATTTCCCACAAAGTAGGACCATTTCTTGGAGGACTATATACAAGTGAATCCAAGTTGATGTTGCTTCCTACAGGTACATTACATGTTAAATAACAAAATCACGCATTTATGAGTTAGCAACAAGTTAAAAAGTACACAAGCAAAAGGGTCATGAATCTAAGTAGTATAGACTTGTTAGAAAAAGAAATCACTTTAGACTCTTGAATTAGGCTCACAGTCAAAGTCCAATATTACAATGCAAGTAATTGTCTAGCGAATATGGGTAACAACTAACTATCCCATAAGTTTAAATTATATGCTCAGGGACGATTTTATATTTACCATGTTTCCTCACGGAAGAATAATTTTAGCTTGAAAGGTGAACAGTGTTCAGGTTTAAGCTAATTTATATTTAACATAAACAAAAGAGGAAGATATTTTACCTGGTGTGACAGTGATTTTAGCTTTATACATGTAATCTCCAATAAAGCCAGGAACCCATGCATACAGGTTGTAATCCCCAGGTACAATATTTTTTATTACAAAGTGTCCGGATCTGTCAGTTTGAGTCCAGAATTGATAACCCTGTCAAATTGTATATAAATTAAACCCGTTTTTGCTTGATGCATCGATATCACTAGCCCTTTAAAGTTCAAGAAAAATGTCATTGGCTCCAACTACAAATGTACCTTGCTTTCTTTTTGCCACGATCCTGCTTCTCCAGGCAAAGCTAGACCAACATAAGCATCAATAGCATATTGAGATTTCTTTCCCCTGATGAACATGGTAAGGAAAGAAATTCAGATTTCTTTTATAAGCTGTCCTATGTAATCAAATAGTAAAATGAAGGTAAACAAGCATTGGCATATACTCTTGGACTTGTAACCGTCCAGCTACTGTTCCCCGTTGATTGGGTGGAAGGTAATCTTTTGATTGAGGGAAATCATAAGGCCATTTTCTGACTTCATTGGATAGCTAATTGATCAAAGAAGAATAATATAATGCGTGTTATCACATAATGACTTAATGTCTAATAAACAATCACTGGTGAGTGTGGTTACTTAAGGGTAATAAGCACCTGTTCAACAGCATCTGACCAAAGAGACAGAAACTCAGCTTTATTTGGAGCAGAGTTGAGGTAGGAAAAAACTGGGCCAAAAACCTTTTTATAAGTCTCCCCTTCTTGAAAGGCCATGGTTACCTCCTCGCCAGCATAGTGTGTGCTCACAAACATCTACACATAAATTAATAATAACAGATGGAAAAAATAGAGGAAGTACTTCAATTATTAGTTTATGGGTTCTATGACTGTAAATTACAACATACATTATAACATTAACTATCTGATTAAATTTTGTTTAGGCCTATAATCTTCATTTACAAATTTGTGTTGGAGATATTGCACATCACAATATATTTAAGCGCCCCTATTTAATAGTCAAAATTTACAATGAAATTATTCAGATATTGATACATTTTTAACATGGTACTACAATTTTGATATACATGTAGAATTAAATTCGGTACTTGTAACAGGCAGTGCTACTCAAGAATTAGTGTTGCAATTGGAGGAACTTACGGAGAGAGTAGTGGGCCCAACATGAGAGGTTAGATCTTGCTTAATGGGCCCAGCGTTGCGGAACTCATTACTGGGCGTTATCATCCAGAAACCCACTGAGACTTCAGACTCATTGGTAATCCAACCATGAACTAAGTTATCTTTGTTCTCAATCGAGTATTGGTATTTGTCATCCACCTGAGCCCAATACAATAATGGATATTTTAAACTTTAAGCTCATATCAATGACCAAAAACACTTTAAGCCCACGTCATAAACATTATAAAGAACCAAAAGGAAAAAATATTGTCAATTAAAATAAGCCTGCCATGCATAAGCAGAAAGAGAATTACCTCTCCCCTGAATTTTGGGTTTGATGAACGGGTTAAGAGAATAGCTTCCGGATAAGCTAGGGGCTGACCCGTTTCTCTATCTCTCACAGATGGCATTTCCCTTCTCCTAGTATCTGATATAGCCATATAGTGGAACCTGTGTAATTTGTTGTTCATTTCTTAAGCATACTTTTTGTTTTCTTCCCTTGAAAAGCTTAAAAAGAAGTGTTCTCAGTTTTTTAATTGTTTGTTTATAATATTAAAAAAGCTTAAAAAGTTAATTCTTTATTTGATGATGATGATAATAATAATAAAAATAATTGCATTTGTGTCTTTACCCTTTTTTTGAAAAGATAATTTTCCTTATTTTTCTCATCGGAGATATGTGTGTCCTTACATAAATTTAAATTTCCTTGCTTATTGTCTTGTATGTACCAAACTAGAAAACTGTTTTTCAAGTCATTTTATTTTTAATTATTTCAAATTATGAAATCAAAATAATTGAAATTTATTCTTAAGATAAAACTTTGATTCAATTTCTTAGATGTTTTTTTATGTTACTTTTTAATTGAATTAGAGTTTTATCTTAGTAAATAGAATATTTAATGTTATTACATGTTATCGGGGAAAAAATCATTTACAATAAAAACAATAATATTAAAAACACCTAAAAAATGCAAATAATTTTTGTACTTGTTCTTATTTATATTCTCGCTCAATAAATTTGCATAAATTAGGAGTCAATAAAAAGTAGCATTAGTTTTTCAAAAGAGAAAGGAAAACCATATTTCTTTTTCTCAAGGTAACATTTTTCCGGTTACCTGTCTTCGTTGAGTTTGAAAACAAGCCTAATTTGATCAATCACCACCGCAGGTAATCCTGCTGGTCGCTCAAATATTACATATGAATAAAACCCGGAATCGCCTCGTCGCAATATATACCTGCGTGAAAACCAATTCATATCGAACAATGTTACTAAGCTAATCTGTATTTGTCCTCAAACTGTACCAAAATTTAAGATCTGGAATCCACCTTTTGTCTATGTTTACGGGGACACTTGAGCCTTTCATGGAAGCTGTCCATGTTCTTAAAAATGAAACCTCCGCTATGTTCTCGTTTGCTGTTATGACTCTGAAATTTGTCCCTAGGACTCTGCAGTGAAGTTTTAATTATACATTTGTCACTGGAATTCTCTTGGTGTGTGTTAGATAATTAAAGTTTAAGTCAAAAAGTTAATAATAAATTAAAAAATATATAAATAAATAAATTATGAGTCTAAATTATCAAATTTTTAAACAAACTTGTTAAATTTCTAGAATCCAAACCAGTAAAATAAAATGCAAGGGAGAAGTGGATAGTGTGACTGCAAACCGATGAGATGCATGTGTTAACTAGATTATCCCCCCTTTGCAAGTGTTTATTCGGATTCTCCCGAATTAGGTAGCTAGCTTCGCTGTTGTTTTCTTTTATTATTAATTTCAATCATTAAACAAATAAAGGAACATATAGTTAATTAATTGAGATGACACAAATAATATATACCTCTGAAACGTGTCACGTTGTCCTGGTTGTTTCCAAACAACGTCCATGTACCTATAATTATGAAGGCCAGGTTATGTAATGTCAATCAAACCAGGACTTGCATGGATCCAATTTTCATGGCATACTATATACTGGATTAATTTTGAGAAAGTTCCAACTTAAATGTAATTCATTTAATATGAAGAAGGTGATGGGTACCCTCTATCGCCTTCTTTATTTTTAGCTTCGAGTACATTGTCAATTCCAGCATATGATATTCCAAGGATATCGCCCTCGGGCCTTGATAAATGAAGGGAAACGATGCCGTTGCCAATCACCACCTGAATAATCAAGTCAAACCATAAAAATCAAGTGCATGTTTAGATAATATTTTAAAATAAATAACTGTTTATTTTTTAAAAGTACTTTCATATATTTATTAAAAAATTGTTAAACTGAATATACACTAAATATCTGACGAAAAATCGTGCCAATTAATCATTTTTCTTTTGCTTTATTTTAACGTTTTGAACTAGCTGTCCTTTTCCAGATAACAGTATCACCTGGTGAGGATTTTGTGTGTTTAGGTTCACAGGAGCAGACGTCGATGCTAGATTGTCGATCCCCCTTAAGTCTCTTCTGCAAGTGGAAGCAATGCAGGAAAAGAAGAGATAGAGTACACAAAGTAAAAAAGGTTCAAAGCATGACGTTGTCAATTCAATTGGACAATATTCAAGAGTGTTTCTTTTATTTTATTTTAATTTCTTTTATCTTCTCACTACAGAAAGGATAGAATAACATTGTTTGCGAGGAAAACTCCAACATCATTTATAAGTTATTCTTAAAATAATAAAATAAACAGTCCAATATATTCTTTCTATCTTTCTTGAAAACAAAATAAAAAATATATAAATACTAAATATATAATATTTTTCTTGAAGGAGGAGATAGGTGGGTGTTAGGTTTGATGTCACAGTTATCTTAGGGCGGTTGCTATTGAAGTTGAACAGTCTAGCAACTTAAAAAGTGTTATTGGTGAATTTTGAAAAATGATTTACGTTCGCCTATCTGTGCACATCACAATTAATGTAAAACCACCCCTTTCCCCACAAGCAAATCTGTTTAATAGTTTTGAAGTGTATATTCTTTTTCCTATGAAGTAATTAAAACACTTAGCCTATATGATATTTTAAAAAATAATAATGAACTAAAATTGTTAAATAATGTGAAAAAAAATTACAAGGGAGTAAATAACATGCATACACCAAAAACTTATTTTCCTCCGCACATGTACATATAATCTCACTTCAATGTAACTCCAAAACTATGTGATCAAAATTAGCTCAGATGTTCTCACACTACTGTACACAGATGAGAACAAAGTTCAGCGGTTGGGCAAGCATTCAAATGCTGACGTGTCTATATATATGATTGTGAAACAGTAAGTAACGTGTAAAGGTGCGAAAGTGATGTGAAAAAGAAATATATGTAAATAGCAAACTGCAATTTTAGGTGCATAGACGTTAAATTATGAGTTATTGTTATGTTCTGAAATGGTGATTTCATAGTTACTGAAGTAGACCATTAGCCTATACTATTGATGCGGGTCGGTTACGATAATGCACTTTGCAGAGGCTCAAAAGAAATGTGAAGACCACAAAAAAAATTCAAAAATGTTAGAGTTAACTGCATTTTCATCAAATTTTGCGTCATTAAAAACAGGCTATCTATGCTGCAGATTAAATGTCAAGAAAACATAAAGGAGACATTTGAAACACAGTCAGAGAATGCATGGTGCGGGACAAGACGTGTGCACAAGCTAGCTAGCTAGGAAACTCTTTTCATTGCCACAATGGCTAACTTGTAAAAAATGAAGCATTCATATGCCACCGTAACATGCAAGAAACTAAAAATGGCTAACTTTGTGATGTAGCATGCCACCGTAAAGAAATGATAATAAAGGTGAAATGAAACATGCCACCCAACCGAAATTTTTTTCAGTAATTTTAAAATATGTAATTACTTCCCTTTAAAGTAAGACACTTAATATGTATGGTAATTTTCTCCAAACTAAAATAAAAAAATTACAAAAAAAGGAAAGAATTAGAAGAAAATAAATACTATAAAAGTGCTGAAAATTTGTTCTAGACAAACACAAAGATAAATCAAGAATATGAAATTCTGAATTTCTCATCTATATTTATAAACCGGACATGAGAGATAAAAAAAAAAAATCGAGTTTTCCGTTTTATGAAATCTTCTCTGATCATTCTCCGTCTATTTTATGAATTTTTCTCTTTTTCTCCATTATTTATTTATAAAAGCTGTTCACATCATTTTAAAAATTAATTTTAAATATTTTAAAATTGTACAATTTTATAAGGAAAGTCATTATTTGTTACATTAAAAATAAAAGAAATTTTTTAATAAAAATTGATTATATTTATATGCTTAGTTAAAGCAATCCTAAAAACATGTATAAAAAAATTGTTATAATAAAAATACAAAGAATATTGTACATTACAACAAGAGGTATATAATAATTTTTTTATTAAAAGCAGTAACATTTAATATTTTATAATTTTTAATAAATCATACTCAATATTAGATAGATTAGAAAAATTAAATAGTTATTTATAACTGATTTTTTAAAAATGAAAATAAAAATAAAAATAACATCTACAATTCTACATAGAATGTCTTCCTTCATGAACGCTCTCACCTCATGATTTCCATTTCGTTTACAGAGCCACATAAAAGATAAGCCCAAAACGATTGCTATAATTTGCTATATAAAGGAGCAAGAGAGTAGGGAGAACCTAAATGAGGTCTTCTCAGAACAAGCACCGAGCAAGATTAAGCCAAGTTGCACAGCCATTCTAAACCACCACATGAAGGAAACCCTGTTCGTCACTTGAACTCCCACCATCATCTTTTACCAATATAAACCTGCAAATAATTTGACGACCGTTTCAGAAACAATTCCTAGAAGAAAATGTCAAATTAAAGAATACCAAAATAGATGAACATTGATAATGGTAATAGCTAAAGAGCACTGTCGATCACACTACCATAAGTGGCTCACCAGACGAAATTAATTATAATAATGATAAATTAACAAATATATAAATTCTGAAAGACACGCACAAACCTTGACATTCATCAATGTCTAGAGTTACAGAAAAATCATTGGAGAGGAACACTGATCAACACATCAAGTTTAGGCCATAGCTTTTTTTTTTTTTTGGAGTTATGTATTTTTCTACCCCTTCATTACTATAAAATCTCTTTGGAAGCTCAATGCACCAATTGCAAAGTGAATGACATCACATATATATAAGTGCTGCTCAACGAACAGCTCTAGCTTCTCTATTTGATGTTGCCACTATTTCCGACTGCTTCCTACATTTCTTTTTCGTTTTTTGACGCTGCTCCTTAATTTTCAATTATGTTTCACACGACAGCAGGTATTCCCTTCAACGTTGGACTATGGTCCACGCGAGGGGTATAGTAGTCCTTCAAGAAAAGATAGTGAGGATGAATTTGGCAAAAGATTCTATTACATGGTCAAGGAAATAGGACGGTGATCACATTTAATTTAGCTTTTTGAAAAGATCGGCCAATTGTTTCGTATATTGTACTATTGTTTTTAATCAATCTTTTGTTTCATGCAATGGTTAATAAGTTAAAAAAAATAGAAAGTTTTCAACTAAGATATAATTTTATCATTATTTGTGTAGTAATTTTTTGCATTTTTAATACAAAAAATGTAAGAAAAAGTGTGGTGAAATTACACACACATATATATATATATATATATATATTTTATTTTTTTTGTGTGCCTAGATTTAAGTCCTAGTAACAATTTTAAACACGAAAAAAAAAGGAAACTTGATAACGGCTATACTTTAGATTAACAGAAATATTCTCTTAATTTTTTAAATTGATAGGAAAAATATTGTGAAGGGTTTTTTTTTTTTTTTTTTTGGGTCTCTATAGACGTACGATAAAATTGGAAGCATGATTGATATTTGTCAATAATATAATTAAACACCGAAAAATTTATAGTTTAAGATTATTCCTACAATTAAAATGGGGCGTTTAGTACATACCTAATCCTCAGGGCTTGAAAATGATCATAATATAGTCATTATTAGAATTCAATGACCCACTTCTTAAGTCTACACGGTATATATGGTACTAAGGTATAGCTTACTTAAGAGACCTATATTAGAGACATATATCTGGTTTTAAAATTTCATCCCTCATATGAATTTTAGTAAGAAAAGCCTGCAAAGTTGTACCTGCCCCAGTTTCAAAATTCAGAACCTACGTTGGATGAAAGCTATACTAAAATTACTTGCGATCGCAGAAAAGCTCAATATTAACTTAATTTTAGATCAAATGAGGATAGATATAAAGATAAAATAAAATAAGATCTCATTTTTAAAATGCAAACTATTACTAAATACAAAATCCTTTTAAACTGATTTAATTGTACTTCTTTGCTTAGTATATGTGGAAGTTACGAAACAAGAAATGGACACAATTGAGCTCATAGAATAAAGTAACATGTTTTGTTAGTAAAGAAGGGTCAAGGAATCATAGTAGAAAGGATACAGGACAAGTGATAAGATCTGTAAAGCTTTAATTTGCACTTAACAGAGTTAGCACACATCAATATCCTTTGACTTATTTTAGAAATGGGCATTGACAAATGGACTTGGAGCATAGCTAACTATATGTATAATATATATAGCCTAAGGGATAATGCTCTTCCTGGGAGAATAGACACCTTGTTGAGGATATCACTCCTCGAGTCTTCATTTGCTAAGATACTTTGTTAATTTATTTAATTCAATGAGATAATTTATATCCTTTGGAGGACTCTGAGTCAACTCTTTTGCCATAACAAAAAAAAAATCAACCCAAACTGGAGAATTAGTGTAATTAAACGTACTTCTTTATTTACTGTTAAAAAAGTAATTTGGTTTTGAAATAAAATCATTTTTTAAAGGTATGTATAGGAATTGCACGTGTTATTCGGAACCAAGATTGTGGTCTAACTAGGTCCTAATTCAAGGGCAAAAGTCATTAAAAAATGTTTGGCTGTGTCTACATCCAGCAAAGGAGAATAATAATAATTATATATATATATATATATATATATATAACTGATGTAATATAAAAAATAAAAAGGAAAATGAATAATTGAATGATATTATAAAAGTATGACTTAGTTAAGTATATTTTTAGTCTTCATATTTTAGCAATTTTTTTTTTAAATTTTAGTCCTATCAAATAATTATTTTATTTTATTTCATACTTTTTTTTTATAAAATTTTGTTTTTAGTCTCTAATGTGATCAAATAAAAAATTAACATATGAGAATGATCAGATCAATATTAAAGACTAAAAAAATAAGAAATGAAATAAAAAATTTGTTTAAAAGGACTAAAATAAAAAATTGTTAAAATGTGAAGAAAAAAAACTTATTTAAGCATAAAAGTATTTTGAAGTTCAACTGTGTTTGACGGTGAGAGTCACCTATGCATGCATTGGTAATTTTTCTTTGTACCGTATGGTATTTGTGATTGTTTTAAAATTTTATAACTTTTAAAAATAAAAATAAAAATAAATTATGAAAATTTATATATATGATTTAACAACTACTATCTATTTAATTCAAATCATCAAAATTTTTATATGATCTTTATATTTACATTTTATATGAAACATCTAAATTAAGATCCTCCGAGTTAATGTGTCTCACCGTGACTTAGCCTGTTTAATTGGTAGATTAAGTGAGTTAAATAAATAAATAAATAAAATTTATAGATTAATTTTTTTTATAACTTGTCTCACTAAAAATTCATCTATTGGCTCACAAAACAAAGTTCATTTCAGCAACTTTAATTATAATCTCAAGCTAAGAATCTTTAAACTAGGTTTAGGATATGATGTTAAACTAAAATAGAAAATATTTTGTCCATTATATGGATATTTTGTTAATTTAAGAAAACATATTAAATCTAAATTAAAAGAAAAATGCTTAAAATTGTCGTGTACGGCATCAATAGTTTAGATTTAATAGGAAAAGAATAAATTTTAAAATTTTTAAAAATATTAGTTTAAATGTATAATTAATTTACTAAATTTGAGATAAAAATTTGTTTTTTAAAAATTAAATAATTCGAGAACGCAAAATCTTAAAGAACAAAGTAAATCTAGCATACAAAATTTAAAATGGATTAACTGTCTGAAATTTTTTGAAAAATATAAAAAATAATAAATAATTATAAAGTCATGAGGGGAAAAAGTTTATAATATGCATGTTAATAAATATCTTTATATTTAAGAAAGAATAAAGATTAATCAAATTCATAATATAATCAAAATTCTCGAGACTAATGTGAGTTAGAATCGCGATCTGAATTGTAGTCAGTTTCAGTACTAAAATACTTAATTCTACCATTTCTGATTTCAGTATGATAATTTTTACTAACAAGGAATGCAAAAATATAACAAGAGATAGCTGATATACGTACCTGCTTTGTATACGCAACTATATTATCCTATGATTTCTTCAGGATTCTGAGTCTTCAGTTCTTCTTCACAATATGCAGTACTGATTGCTACAACAAAATCAGGGAAAAAGTTCATATTTACACATAATTAATGCAATTAATAAACAGTAAAAAAATAATGCAGCAATTAAGTTTTCGGATAACTGATAAAAAATAAGAAAAATTAAATTAAATTAAAATAACCACGCTTTAATTTTAAAAATTTAATTGTATAAATTGCTTTTAATTTCAAATATTACTCCCAATTACTTGTGTTTTTTCAAATATTAAACAGAGTAAACCACCTTGATTAGGAAAAATCTGCGAGCTGGAAACGTAGATTATCAATAGTGATTGACATTAAAATTAAGAAAATGGATCACTGCAAACAAACACAAGATCTGAACATTAGTTATGACAAAACTTCTGAACATAATCACTAACACTTCTCATTAAGTAACATGGTGGGAGTTAATTTGAGGAGGACCGCATG